TCGCTTGATATAAAAAATTCTAGGAAATAAGAATTTTTAATAATTAAACCTTTTCTTTCTTTCATTTTGCAATATTTAAATTAATTTTATAAGAAAATTTCTCTAAAAATGAGGTATTTCAAAGAAAAAAAATTTGCATAAATATTGATCATCGATTTAATGTTACATTAAATTTTTTTGTCTATTGTTATATTAAATATAATTTTACTAAGAAAATTCATAATTTTACATATAAATTGTTTTTGATATTTTTAGTTAACTTTTTGAAAATTACGATAACTCTAATACAACTGAAGTCAATCAATTCAGATCTGAATTGAATATTTTTTTCACAATTTTAGTTTTTTAATATTTTTGAATTTTTGATTAACAAATTAAACTTTTTTTTTAAAAAAATACAATTGGCTTTAAAATTATGTAAATTTTAGAAATAATTATTAAAGTAAATACTAATATGTATATTTTCTATTCTTTTTATGTTTTATTATAAAATTTGGATCAGGCGTCACTTTGTAACGCGACTGTCATGATTATATATTAATATCAACTGCCTTTAAACGTTGAAACCTTGATTCGTGACTGCGCCTTAATTAGTCATTGATTAACAAAGTTGACCAAGTTGCTAAAGTGGTCATCGTTGATCTATTAGATAAATTAATTATAAATAGTATAATCGTTATACTTGTTAATTATATCTTAGTTAGTAGAGTATTTATATTTATCTTATTTATTTATTTTATATTATATTATATTTTATAGTATTTTAATTTGTATAAATATCTTGTTTTCCCTTGAGTTGAAAAGTAACTCGAGATAGGGTTTTAGGATAAACCAAGAGTTCAATAAAGGAAACTTTAAATTCATTTACTATTGCCTTTTGTCGTGTCTTCATATAGGCATGATTGTGATATTGTCTTGTATTTAATTCGACGGATTGAATTAAAGGTTAATCGTTTAAGTTTGCAGATACCAAGCCAACAACGGATATTTGAAGAATGTTGGCTAGCAGGATCCACATTTAATAAAGATGACCTAAAGAATTATAATAAATAAAGTAAATATTAATTTGCTTTGTTTCTAATGTAAATTCATATCCAGATCATATTCTATTGAAATATACTCTGAATATTCCAAGAAAATTATATCAATAAAACAATAATTAATTGTATCATTTCGATTATTCAAATCAACATAATCATTTAAGCAAAATACCTTGTTTTGTATTATATACATTTTCTATAGATAAATTTATGAATGAAGTTTTCGAAATCATAGAACTTAATGCTCTGCTTGTAAAAATTGCTTTTGGATGAGGTTTTTCGCTAAAATCAAGACCAAGTTTAATTGACTGTATCAATTTCAATCTTTTCATTTCAGATAGTTCAACTTTTATATAACCAAATGAAAGATTGAACCAAATTGATCGATTGTCTCTCCAGTTTCTTCTATTGAAGGTCTTTTTAAAAGATCAGGATCCCAACATCTTTTCATTAAATTTGCATAAAATTCAGGAGTATCTTGAGTAATTTCAGGCCGCTTTCCATCAATGATTTCATAAATAAGGTTATATCATGTTCAACATTATCAAAAGGTTTACAACCTGATGTTAATTCCCACATGATCATACCCAAACTATAAATATCAGATTTTTTTGAAAACTTAACACCCTTAAATACTTCAGGTGCTATATATGGTATTACACCATATATTTTATCATTTTGCGAAAAATCTGCGGGTTGTGATAATCCTAGATCTCCAATACACCAACCCACTGAAGAGTTTAAAATATTTCCACTATGAAGATCTCGATGTATAGTATTTTTTTTATGAATATCATAAAGTCTAAAAGTTAAAAAAAAAGTATCGTTATACTGTATATGAATTAATAAATGATATTAAAAATATAAATACCCTTCTGAAATATCACTTAAAATACGTAATTTATCATGCCATGTAATAACTAGAAAATTTTTTTGTAAATGATTATGCAAATCACCTCCTTTTGCATACATCATTATTAACATAAACTCCTTTGTCTCGGGATCTTGTGTAACTCCATAGCATTGAATTACATTTATGTACATCGAAGTATCGGTACAATAATATAACGATTTTAACTAAATTATTATAATAGCAAAAATTTAATATAAAGTAAAAATGACATATAAAAGTAACATTAAATAATTACCTCATTTAAAAACTTTTGCTAATAGTTTGAGAGTGTAATATTCTTTTTATCGCAACAACTTCACTTCTATTGCTATAAGGATTTAATCTAGTTGCTCGATAAACTATGCCATATCCTCCTTCCGCTATTTTTTTTAAACTTGTAATTTGAGAACATTGAATCCATTCTATTGGTGGAAAATCATTAAAATATTAAACCAAATTTTTCATGATCAGCAATTTTGCTACTACGGTTAAATTTTGTATAATAGATAAATTCATCTAGAATAGAATTTCCACTGACAAACTTTGAGACATCAATAGTGATTGATACTACTCTTTTACATTTTCTAAACTGAGATTGATCGGTAATTCCAAATATGATATTCGTCGTTAAGCAATATCTACATCCGTTATATATTGTAAAACAGTATGAACACCACTTTTGACAATCTGTTACATAATTTAATTTTCTATCACAGATTATACAAGAGGTACAGGCATCCCACCATGGCAAATAAAATATTGGAATTGATTTTTTAATAACTGTTGATTTTGTCCGTCCATTATAAATCAAGTAATGATTATGACTTGCAATGACGTTTCGATATCTTTTAGTTTGTCCAAAATATAAAATTGCCGAGCAATTTAAACACCATTCTTGAATATCATACGTTACAAAATCTAACTTTCTTGGCTCATGTTCACTACACTGAATGTTATTTGTACCTATACAAACATCCAAGTATATATCATTATCGGTTAAATATTTAATATACCAAGTTAAGCAACTTTTACAACATTTAAAATCATAAATTGACTTAATTGACTTAGAAAATTCAAGTCCACAATATTCAAGTCCACAATAATTGCAACTGTTATCATTTTCATTAAATTAAATAAACAAAATTGGCATAGGGCTAGATTTTAAATTTAGGTTTGGGTCAAATATTTCATCCATATTTGTTATAAATTTAATTTGAAAGCGAAAATATTTCCGATATTGAATCAATTTATTATTTTTGTTTGGAGGCAAAGGTCCGATAGTTTTCCGGCATGCAGCAAGTTTAACCTTAAATGTAGTATAAAGACGGAGCGAAATTAGAAAAGATTTGAGATAGGTGCATATCATTTTTTAGAAAATTTATTTGCTGTTCTAATATACATAACGATTAGTTTTTAAGTAATACTGAAATTTAAAAAGCGAAAATATTTTTTTTGCAACATTTCTATATTTATCAAAACCAACATATACAATGATAAAATTTGCATATAAGTATTGTAATACAAGAATGAAAATATTTTAAAATTGAGTTATTTAAGTTGCTACACCATTCATTCATTTATTTTTGACTTCACGAACGAAAATTAATGTCATTCTGCGTAGAATACCGAAAAAGTTGGTGGAAAATATTTTCGTTTCCAAATAATTTGTGATGATCATATTAACCAAAAAATTTTGGTCTAAATCTATTTCCAAATATAGTTTAGATGTTTCTGTAGCTTGTGGCTTTAAGCTTTATGCTTTATGCTTTTAGCAATCAGCTTAATGGACAGTGAAAACATTAATTTATAATTTTTAGGCGGATTTCGGAATCAGGGCGCAGCTCTGAATCGGGTAAGTATTAAATATGTAAAAAAAAATACTTACCTGATTCCCGATACTGAAAAATCCGAAAAAGTAGTTTTAATTTAAGTAATTATAAGCAAAACTGATTTTTGGGCTGTTTTGGCGTCGGGGTAAGTAAATAAATTATCCGATTCAGCGCGAGCCCAACGTCAAAAATTATCCTAGGTTTAACAATGATCCATATGATTTATTTTTTTATGAGGAAATTATCAGATAAATTGAGGTTGCGCAGATGATGTAATTGAAGTCGCTCCGCTGATACAGTATAATTGCTGTCGTCTAAGGAGATGATGAGCTTTATTCTCAGATTAAAGTAGGTTCATTTTATTTAATTAAATGATAATTATCCTCACATCTTCGGCTTGTATTATTTATTATAGATAACGAATTTACCTATAACGTCCGTCGCATGAGAATTTTAACAAGAAATAATCCAATGTAAAAAGATAGAATGATTAATTATTTATTATTTTATATTCCCAATTTATAAATACTTAAAGGCTTTATCCAAATTAATTTGTTTAAAATTTAAATTCAATCCAATTCATTCTATTGAATATGTGCTCAAATGTTAATTCATAATAGATTAAATCAATAATTTGAATAATACTTATATTTCATTGCAATATTAAGTTATCATTCGACTGGTAAAGATCATGGAGATATATTTTTTTAATAGTTAGGATTTTTAGTGTATTATGCACCGTTGCGAGAGAGATATATATTGTAAAAAAAAAGAAAAGAAATACGATTCATAAGGCGCATACTTAAAAAAAAACAGAAATTTCATGTTTTAAAAAAGCCAATAAAATACGCGAAAAAAAAATAGCAACATCAATTTTCAAAAAATAAGTTCATTGTTACACATCAATGGAGTTCATTTTAACATATGAAAGTTGATTAGGTTTGATTACAATTAAAATATTGTTCGTTTATTAATTTTCATTTTTTTACGGCGCGAAGCTCTTTTTCAATCTGAAAATTTAATTAAATTCAAAAATGCAAATTATACGAAAATGTAGTTGGTGGCGCAGCTATATATCTAAACTCAAAGGAATCTTCTATGCTTATAATGCAAATTCAATTTAAAAAATCATATTCCAAATGTAAATTTGTTCTAAAAGTTAATTTATTAACACTGATTTTAAAATAATGAAAATTTTTAAAAAAAAGAAACCAACTCCATTTCCTATTTGATATATATCTAATAATATAATGTAACGTCACAATTTGAAAAATCGTCATCATCCTTGATTTCACTTTCATCATTTTCTTTAGAGATAAAATGAATTTTAGGATCAATACTGTTAAGTTCCGAAATTACTTGATCAATATCTGGTCTCTCATATGGTTCACGTTCCCAACATCCTATATAAATAAGTAAATTCAAGATTAAGTGTAATTAAAAGAATAAACCTATAACAAAAATAATAATGATTCTTACTTTGATAAAGCTTGACAAATATAGCATTTGTTGTTGACATAGGCTTTTCTCTTACACCTTTAAGAATTTCAAACTGAATAGCAGTATCGCCCGTTGTTTCAAAATTGAAAGGTGATGAACGACTTGTCAATTCCCAGAACAATACACCTAAGCTATAAATATCAGATTTTTTGGTCAAGTCATATAAGGGATCTTCTAAAATTTTAGGATCCATATAAGGTATTACTCCACGTGCTGTTTTAGTATTTGATCCTTGTAGACACGAACATCCAAAGTCTGCTAATTTTATTGCACGTTGATGGATTAAAATGTTATTTGAATGCTAAAATAGAAAATGAAATTAATAATAATATAATAAATACAAAAATAAAGGAATAATTAACTAACTTACAAGATCACGATGAATAATTTCATTGTCATGTAACCACAAAATTGCACTTGCAATCTCGTTGGCAAATTTCAATTGACATTCCCACTTAAATGTTATGGCGTTGTCTCTTAAGTATTTTCCTAATGTTCCGCCATCCGCATATTCAAGAATAATCGCATAATCGATTTCATCTAAATTATAATAAAAAATGTGTGAACAAAAATACTAGAATAAAATTACTAACAATAATTATTTTACCTTCAAAATTCGTAATTCCATAAAATCTAATTATATTAGGATGAAAATCAACTTTACTTCTCATAATTTCCATTAAGTGAATCTAAAAAAGTATATAATTAATCGAAATAACAATATACACATATATACGTTTTATATTATAAGACTATACCAAACCTCGTTTAAAATCATTTCTTTCGTAAAACCTTCGGCAAATTTTTTAATTGCAAATTTTGTTTGGGTACTTTTCCAATATGCAGCATAAACAAAAGCAGATCCTCCTGAACCAATTGCGGAAAAAACCTTAAAATCTCGAGATTCATGATAAGGAATGTCACAGCATTGCAGCTTTACACAAAAAGCTTTGTGGTGCAGCTATTAATAAAGTTTTGATTATCAATTTGGTAATCTGCAGATGGTAGATTTTTACTGCATATTTGCTATTAAATCGGGCTTCTACTCTGCATGCAGTGCAGTAAAAAAAAAAACCATTTTATTTTGGAAAGATCTTCTTATCTGCCGGATTTAGTTAGATTATGTGTTTTTTCTTTACTTTTTAATTGACGCTTCGCAGCGCAAAGAAATATATGCAAGCTTTTAATTTAACTATTTAATAAATTATATTGTTAATTTTCAAAGTTTGTTTATTTTCATTGAAAAAATCATCAGGTAATAAATATTATTTAAACTAAATTATTAACGACGACGTAGGTTGACTAGTATGAAAGTTCGTTAATTTCAAAGACCAAACGGTAGCTAAGTTGGTTTTGTATGGGCTTTTATATAAATTCAAGTTACTCAAATATGCATGGTATACTTATAACGTAGTCGAGTCAGTATGGCGGCGTTTCCGCATGCGCATAAGCGCTTACATGATTTGCACTACACTTTTTGAAAATCTTTGTCTCTTAAAGTTAATAAAAAAAAGAATTTAATTATTATATATCTGAATTTTCCTCTTATTATAATAATGTATTTATAAAGTATTTTTCAGTTTTAATTATTAAAACCTTATGCTTTTTTACTATTTTAATGATAATTTGGTCACATGATTTTTCTTAATGAAATTTTAGTCACATAATTCTTACCTCATAAATTTAGTTGGAAATATTTAGAAAAAATATAAATATGTGGATTCATTAATAGAAATGCACTATATAACATATAATTATTAACTTAAAATAGGAAAATAAAATTAATTTTAATTTAGTACTCTATCGTTGAAAAATCCGATGAAATACTTAATAAAATCAATCCAAAATTCCTGAAAAATCTGAATTTCATTATAAATGATTAAAATCTTAAAATGATCTAAATTTCTCTCATAAATTATCTGGAGCATAGAATCATAGTGTTTTTCAAGTAATCAAAAAAAATAATACTAGTTAGTAACTTTTATATTATTTTGAATTAAAGTTTTATGATCTTTATAATAACGGATTTACTCAACTCACAATACACAGTCCTATCCGGAGCAGTATAATCATGTTGAATAATTAATCTTTAATATCATTATCATTGAGAAAAATTTGAAAAATAAAAAATTTAAAATCTTATGTAACCAACTCGCATCACTATTCGTCTTTCTCATTCTATTGAAGGAGACCCATTGCATTGTACGGTATGAAATAATGTTGTGATTAAATCCTCATCATTTTAATTTTGCATTAATCTCGCAATTAAGGGTTTGATAATATTAACTACCAATTAAAATCAAGAATGAATCGGGAAAATTATTCAATAACAGAGCGGTTGTATTAGAGGGTTTTGTTTAATCAAGATAAATACTTCGTGTGAAACGAAGCTATTTACTTTACACCATCAGAGAAATTCCACCATAATAGCAGAATACGCAGAACATCCCAATGGTGTAAATGATTCAACCTAAAAAATGAAATATGAAATTGACAAATTCTGTAAGTAGAAAGAAACATAATTATTCAGGTAAACCATGTTGGCATATTTTCTTATTTAATACATTTGTAATTTAAAGTAATTAATTAATTTACAGATGGGATAATTTTAAGATCGCATAATACACTTAAAGTAAATCCTTCTGCGCTATAAGCTTCACAGATTTTATTTATAGAGAACCGCGTAACAAGATCTATCATGTACAGTCATTCTCCCGTAAATTACCAATTAAACAGTAAGTGTTTTATTTGTTGTACATAAACATTTAGATTAATACTTATCTATGTTACCGAACCTGAATAATCACAAAACCTTTAGAAATGCATTTATATTAGTTTTTTTAATTATATAGAATGCTAATTTTATTAATTGCAGTAAACTTCCAATTAATATTTATTAAAATCGAGTTATAAAGCATATGATAATTATGCACAGGTGTTTGAAGAATGATGTTCTAAATGAATTTAATAAACGGATCAGCATCTCTCTAAAAAACGTTTCTAAGGTTTGGTATAAGACATCCATAATAAGTCCTTCAAAAATCCACCGTGGAAGACCACCAACAACAAGAGAAACATGAAATTTTTTGCATTTTTTCCATTCTACCGGAAATTTCAATAAAGTAAGAATTTCAACATGTTCAACTTCGGTCAATGGTAATAAACGCATTGACATCGTAACATGTGAGAATTCACGGAAGACATCATTTATTGTAGTAACCATCGTCCCTCCAAGATTTGGGTTATTTTTGACAAAAATCTACTGTCTTTATCTTTTCTGATGGATGTGATGATTTTATTAATCTCATCAATCGAAACCACCAAAAGTCACTTTATATTTTTATCCCTCTGCGTATAATTGTAATCCGGTTAATTTTAACTATGGCCAAAATTTTAATTTTCAGGTTTTTGTGTTTTTTTACAGAGACGATGACGATTTTTTACAATAGAACTGATGTCGATCAACAAAGATTATAACAGGATAAGTTTTATTAAAATTAAAGAAATACAAAAATAAACTAACTATTATCTCGGCGCTCTGTAATTAATAGACCTTAAGAGAAGATATTATATCTAAAACAAAGCAAAAACGAAATCTACTTATACAAAATTCTATCTAGAGATAATGATAAGATTCTTTCTTGAAAAGATTGATCAGGGCTGGGTGACTCGGGTTAATTAAGGCGGAAATGGCCTATTCTCACGATTTGACTTATCGAGTAGAAATATTAAACTGACTAGAAAATTGATCGTGCGCAACGATTTCTCTAAGTCAGGCCATTTTGTGACGATAACCTTCAGATTGAAGTGATGTTCTGCAGATTCTAAGTGTTGTCACAAATGTGGCTCCACTGATCATATTGTAGTCAAATCGTTTCTGCCTCTTAGGAAATAATACTGAAGACAAAAAACCAACATCACAGCGCAACGCCTTACAATAAATACAATAAATATATTCCAGCTGGATTACTTGTGCCCGGGTCTTTCGACCCGAGGATTAATTCCGAGTCGTGATTATCATTTTTATGACAGAGCCTAATTTAATAAAATCCGTATCATGGTTGGTTTTACTCGACCCGGATGACCCCCGGATTTAAATAGAATGAATTATAATATAGTACTTGGTTAAAGCTTGGTTATTATGATATTTATAACGTCCAGCTATACTGAAAGTAGAAAATATTAATGATGAAAGTGATGTAATTTAAATCATATTTTTTTAATTTATTTAATTTATTAATTCAATTAAATTATATACCGAATATCCACATTTAACAATTGATGGTAGAGATTAACTTGCAATTACAGTTATTAAAAAAAAAAAAAAATAAATTATCGATTATTTAATACATTTTTATATAAAGCAACAAGTGTTTCAGTAGAACGGGTTTTTCTGGCGGAACTAGTCTATTAAAAACCAAAGGTTGTGACCTTGTAACTAAAACAATTCGCGCCTGTATGTATTTGAAATAAGATGTTATAAAAATAATTAGGATTAATGCACTAACAAAAAAAAAAAAAAAAAAAATTAAACTATATATTATTTTAAATAGTCGTATATCGGCGGCATTAATATTACTCTTGAAAATTCGAATCGAATCCGGGTTAAACAATAATCGGGACAATGATCAAGTCGAGTCGATACGATCATACTGGACATTTTACCAATAAAAACAATTTACTGGACATAGTCCAGGGTGCCAACCAAACACAAGTTAAAATATTAAGCCAAGATGTTAGCGAATAATAAAACGCTTTATTAATCTTTAATTTATTTCGATTTTCTCTTTTCCCTGCACTGTGGTACAAAATTAAAAAAAACCTTATTTGGGAAGATTTCTAGGAAAATCAGTCGTGCCTGATTTTCTTTTAGGCAATTTTTCGATAAAAGGTAAGAAAAGTGGTTTTATTCGATGGGTTTTGACCATCTTTCCATTCTACCGATCCGATGAATCTATACTAATCTATTCATAAACTACCTTCTAGTAATAATTTCCTACTATGCGTAATTTAGAAATTTTTCGAGTAAAATCCTTTAGGTATTTATTTTTGAGCTTTGTAATTCAAATTATTATATGTCAATATAATTAATAACCGAAATCTCTTTACAGAGTGCCAGGATATTTTGACGTATGCTGTAATATCATTTGAAAAAGAAATTCTGATCCTGATAACTATCTACGGTTACAGGTAAATTGTATCAGCTGACGAAAGATGTGACGTTATCAATTTCAAGAAGACTTGCTGACAAAAAATATTGAAATGAGGAAAACTTTCTAACCGAAATATTTCTCAAGTCGGAAAAAAATAAAACATTTGGCTACTTCCTTTCTTTCACTGATGTCAAGTGGAAAAAGTTCATGACAATTTATCGGAATTGGGAACATCGATCACAATCTTTAAATAAAGAAAAAAAGATAAGGAAATTTGATACTTAACTCCTTTGCAACCTTACGGTTACTTTGATTTCGGAACAAAAATGTTTTAGAAGTTAAATTGAAATTTATATGTTTTACGTTAAAAATTTTCTAAACTTTCTACATATCTCCTAAAGCTACCCCGATTTTTGCGTGTTGAAAACAGAATTTATTCAGAAAAGTTAAGATCTTGAAAAATATTTTCATTAAATTTACTTTTCTTGTGTAACTGAGAACAATGAAAAAGCTTCGTAAAAGCTTTTTTAATAAACTTCAATGATGGGGAGGAACTCATTGTGAAGGTTTTAAAAATAGATAAAAGATTGTCGTGAATGAAATATTAAATTTGAAATGTTGGAAATTTAATAGGTATGTACAGACGCAAGATCGAATATCTGACAAATCAAAAATCGAATTGAAACAAATTTTACATACTTAACTTGTTTTGTGTAAAAAATTCTTTAAAAACCATTTTTTAACGCGGAGAATTATTGTCTCGAAAAATTATTAATAGTAATTTAAAAATATAAAAAACAAAAAAAAATAAAAGTAAAAAATAAAATAAAAAAAAAAAGCAAAAAATTTACGCGATCGTCAAACTAAGTTTTCATGAAATCCAAAAAAAAAAAATTTCGAAAGTTCTCAGCTTAATGTGTTATCCATGTTCTCAAATAAAGTTATTAAAATGAAGAAATCAAAATTTAACTAATGTATTATTTGGTAATAATAGCCACCAAATTATCCTACGGAAATGATGACCTAATTAAAAATCGAATATATCTAAAAATTTCTTTACAAAGTCCAAGTTATATATAAACCCATTATTAAAAGAGTTCAAGAAATGAACCAATAAATAAATTATTGTAGAACAATAAAAAAGAATAAAAGAAAATGAAACTCTGAATTTACCCAACGCTAATCCTGTCATAAATTATCATTATTAACATCAGGTATACGTTCTTTTTTGAAATTCGAAGACTACTATACCATTTTTTATTTAGACCACCAAACGTAATTAATCTACAATTACATATTCAATTCTTGATTCTCTTGACATCATACTTTCTAACGACACATTAAAAATGTTTCAAGACAACCATGGCATTTTTTACCTGGGAACATGCGAAATCCAGCAACAAATGGTAAAAGAAGTATTACATTTTCTTATCTGGATTAAATTTTTCGGGATTCGTAAAATATTCAGGATTCTTATAAATTTATGTCATGAAAGCATTAAAATTTCGTCCTGCTACAAAACTATGAGCATCTACTTCATCTTCTACTACATTATTACGACTAATTAAAGGGATTACCAGTATCAACTTAGACACTTCTTTAATTAAGGCCTCCGCGTATTCAAATGTTTCAATATCTTCAAAAGTTATCCACGAAAGTGTTGATGAGAGAATCACGTCGATTTCTTCAAATAGCCGTTTTCACATGGGATTCTTACACAAGTAATATGTTACAAATCAATATACCTTTTTTTTATTTTTTAAAATAAAAATAAAAATAAAATACTAATATTTGTACGGTAAGTTTGATCTAATCACATCATCGGTGAATACTTCATGACATTGATGTCCCGCCGATCCTTTTGAACATTTTCCAAAAGAATTTCCTCCCGACGTAAATTTAAAGTAATTCTCTATGCTATTGTTAAACGATTTCATTTCTTTCAATAATAATTATTGAAAAGTGTGACGTAACCTAGATGGTTGTTTAAAGAATTCGATCGCTCTGTAAAATGATTTCATCTAAGAAGTACACCATTTGGTTACATACACTTGAACTCGTATTTTCGTCCTATCATCATCACTATTGGGAAAAGAGTCATAACTTTATTTATTCAAAAATAAATGAAATTTAACGATTATACTTGGAGAAAAATTTATTGAAATTGACCCAACCCCAAAGTTAAAATCTAGCCCTATGCAAATTTTGTTTATTTCATTTAATAGAAATGACGACAGATGCAATTATTGTGGACTTGAATTTTCTAGAACAATTGATAATTTTGACAAATATTGCAAAAGTTGCTTAACTTTGTATATTAAGTATTTAACCGATAATAATATATCTTGGATGTTCGTATATGTACAAATAACACTCAGTATAGTGAACATGAACCAAGAAATTCAGATTTTTTCACAAATAATATTCAAGAATGGTGCTTAGATTGCTCGATAATTATATCATTTAGACAACAAATTATTTTTGAAGAAAATTTAGAAATAATTCAACATTATCGAGAATATCAACGTCAAGTCATTACGTGTCCTCTATGTGGAAAATGTTTTGATAGTATAAAATGCCTTAATTGTTACTTATTTTCTATGGGATGGACAGAATCAACAATTATTAAAAAACCTATTCCAGTTTTTTATTTGTCATGGTGGGATGTCAGTAGCTCTTGTATAAGCTGTGATAGAAAACTAAATATTGTAACAGATTGTCAAAAGTGGTGTTAATATTGTTTTGTAGTATTTACAGGGTGTAGATATTGCTTAACGAAAAATATTTTATTTGGAATTACCGATCAATCTCAATGTATGAAATGCAAAAGAGTTGTATCAATCACTATTGATGTCATAAGTTTTGTCAGTGGAAATTATAATATAGATGAATTTCTATATTATGCAAAATATAACGATAATCACAAAATTGTTAAACAATTATTTGATAATGATGTGTACTCCAAATCTCTATTATATCGTTTAACAATTAAATCAATTAAATCATCACTAATGGAATGGAT